AAAAAAAAAAAAAAAGACAGCATGAAGTTGAACCCCTACTTTCCTCCATATCCAAAGACTAACTCAAAATGAAATAGAGATCCGAGTATAAAAACTCAAACTATAAAACCACTAGAAGAAAATATGGGAATAAATCTTCAGGGTCTTGAATTAGGCAAAAGATTCATAGATGTGACCCCAAACATATAAGCAAAAAAACAACAAAATAGGTAAATTATAAATCATCAAAATGAATCTTTGGGGTTGGGGAGGTAGCTCACTGGTATAACACTTGTTTACCATGCAGGTGGGGCTGGGTTCCATCCCCAGAAAAGAAAAATTGAAACTTTTGTGCTTCTAAGGACACCATCAAGAAACTAAAAAGAGCTAGGTATGGTGATGCACATCAGTAATCCCAGCACTCAGAGGCTGAGGCAGGAGGACTACTGTAAGTTTGAGACCAACCTGGGCTGCACAGTGAGTCAAGGCCAGCCTGAACTTCATAGTGAGACCCTGTCTCAAAGGAAAGAAGAAAGAAAGAGAGAAGGAAGGAAGGAAGGAAGGAAGGATGGGAGGGAGGGAGGGAAGAAAAAATTGAAGCTAGGCACAGTGCTGCAGCCTCTTAGGAGGCTGAGGCAGAAAAATCACAAATTTGAGTCCAGTCTGGGCAACTTAGCAAGGTCTTGCCTCAAAAAAAAGAAAAAAGTTTAAATGAACAATGAATGTCCTACACAGTGGCATGTACCTATAGGCCAGTTATTCCGGAGGCTGAGGGAGGGGATGGCTTGAACCCAGAGGTTCAAGACAAGTCTGAGTAAAACAGCAAGATTTCCCACAATGGATGTAATTGTTAAATACTGCAAACATATACTAGTAAGAACTTTAAAATTTAAAAATGAATAAAGAAAGAAACTCTGAACTAGGAACATTCCTACTGAAACAAGGACCCAGGCAATATTTTTGTTAGCACCAGAATTGCCTCATATTGTTACGAAACCCTTAAACCACAAAGTAAATATGCAGTAAAACAGCAGGGGAAAGAATTTGTATCTCACAAAAGACAACACTGTTCACCTAGGAAACCCAATAAACACATATGAAGAGGTCTGACGACCAATCCAAAAGGTAGAATAACAAATCAAGGCCTCAAGAAATCTGAAACTGTCAAAGGCATTTCAATGTAAAACCAGAAGCATAAAGAATTGGGGGGGATATATATATATAGTATAGCATCAGATATACATGAATTTGTACTGCAATCATTTGTTTGTTGTTCATTTTTTGAGATTGAGTCTCACTATTGTAGCTCAAGCTGGCCTTAAACTAATCATGTTGACCAAGCTGGCCTTACAGTCACTTCCATCCTCCTGTCTAAGCCTCCTGAGAGCTGGGATTACAGGTGTGTACCACCACACCCAGTATTGAATCTAATAAAGCACCAATTTCTAATAAAGTGTTAAAAAGATTCTATCTCAGCCAGGCATGGTGGTGCACACTTGTAATCATAGCACTTGGGAGGCTGAGGCAGGAGGATTTCTGTGAGTTTGAG